GATGATGTGAAAAGATTGGATTATTCACGAATAACGATAAAGTGAGACCAACAAATAAATACCGCTAAAATATTGGATTATTAATTTCCATTTTCTCAATTAATAATGAAAGTTACATTTCACACATGTGTCTAGATTTAAGTAGATTTTATTTGTGTGCACACATACAAGTTTAAGATCCTCAAACTTACATAAAAGTCAAATAAACCCGTAGGCACTATATAAGGGTCAGTTTCGGGTGATTTTTTTTTGGATGAAATGTAAATATATATTAACACCCAGAAAAAAATACATCAAAAAGGTTCTAGATCTCCTAAAACCTCCCCCACCCCTACCTAGTGTTGGGGTTAGGAGAGGTTTTTATTCGATCTAATCAAAATACAATCGGTGTTGCAGGATGCACGCACACAGAACATTAAAAACATCCATCCGAATAGGAAAAGCACAACTAATAGGAGGTTCTAATGTACACTCCTCTCAGCCCAAAAGAAGAAATCGTAGTGTTGCAAGGTGCACACACTACTCACAAAGCGGTTGATGCCACGACTTTGATGCGGTCAGCCGGTCTCCCATCAAAATTGGATCATGTCATGAGGGTATATAGTGAAAAGGATCTTGTACATCACATGCTTTATCTTCGCAATGACCTCGTCTTCAGTCTTTATGATCCCATCAAATCTACTCACATTTCTCGCATGCCATATGTAATATGCCGCGGCACAAAACGCAAGCCGCACCGCCTTAGCCCTCAAGTTTGACCCTTTGTAGTTCTTGAGTAACCATTTGACTGAGCTTTGTAGCGTGGTCATTTGGTGCTCCAACTTCATCCACTCCCTAATTCTTTTCCATACCCTGCAAGAGAAAGGACAAGCAAAAAAGAGGTGTGGCATTGTCTCCAAGTCCCTTTTACAAAGATCACACCTATTGACTATATACATATAGTCAAGGTTATCCTGGGTAGGTAACCGATTTCTAAACGCAAACCAAGTCATGAAAGAGAATTTAGGAGGGATATAAGATTTCCAAATGAAGCTCATCCACACTCTCACCGTCCCTTTTACTCTCAAAAGATCGTAAATTTTTTTAGAAATCAGTTTACCATTAATAGATCTAGCGGTTAAACCCATTATGGTATCATTTTGGTTATTAAAACAGTTCTTAATTTTATCCCTTATTGCCGCCAGCTTTTTCATAAGACTCGAGTCACGGCTGTGTGGGACAAATTCCCACACACTTTTACCATTGAGGTAAATGCCATTAACCCATTTCACCCACAGGGTATCCTTTTTCAAATGGACATCCCAAAGTGTTCGGGCAAGTAGGGCTTGGTTCCAAACATTTGCATTAAAGATCCCAAGCCCACCCTCTTCCTTAGGGAGACAGATGTCGTCCCACGCTACTTTAGCGTATTTACCCCCCCCCCCCCCCCCCCCCATAAGAAAATTCTACAAATGGATACTATTCTATCCAAAATAGCACACGGTACCGGAAAGACCTGAAGCCACAAAGACTGGACCCCTTGGATCACCGATCTTATTAGCTCAATCTTTCCGGCATACGAGATCGTTTTAGTATTCCATGCATTCAAGAAATCCAAGATCGTATCAAGTAGCGGGGCATATTGTGCCACCGATACCTTAAGGGGGGCAAGAGGAATTCCAAGGTATTTAACCGGGAAATTTCCCTGTCCAAACTCCACAATATCCAAAATATTTTGGAGATCAAGTTCATTTACACCACCAACAAAGATGTTAGACTTATTATAATTCACCCTAAGGCCCGATGCGTCACCAAACTCTTGTAGAGCATTGACAAGTATCTGAATGGAATGCTTGTCACCCCTAGAGAACAGCATTAGGTCATCCGCATAGGTCAGGTGGGAGATTTGTAGCGGCGCACATTTTGGATGAAAATTAAACTTTGATCCCTTGGTTCTCATGTTGAGTGATCGGGATAAATATTCAAGACAAAGGACGAAAAGGAGGGGAGACATTGGGTCCCCCTGTCGAATGCCCCTTTTTCCTTCGAAGAAACCGTACAAAGACCCATTCAACGAAACGGAGTACGAGGTCGTGGTTACGCACTCCATTATCCATTCAACAAATCTCAAAGGAAAGCCCAAGCCCTTGAGAACCTTGTCAAGAAAATCCCATGAAATAGTGTCGTATGCCTTGCGCAAATCTACCTTGATCATGCATCTCGGTGAGATCCGTTTCCTCGTGTATCCTCTAACAAGTTCCTGGGCAAGGAAAATGTTATCAATCATGAGGCGGCCGTCGACAAAAGCCCCTTGGGCTTGATCAATTATGGCGGGCAAGCAAGGTATGAGCCTTGCCGCAATCACCTTCGTGATGATTTTATATAAGACATTTGTGCATGAAATGGGTCTATAGTCCGATACTTTTGGGGAATGATTCGTCTTTGGGATAAGTGCAATAACCGTATGGTTAATTTGTTTGAGCAGTTTTCCCGACCGAAAAAATTCCTTGATCATATTGACTATGTCATTCCCAATAGAGTCCCAATTTACCTTAAAAAAGGCGGAAGAGTAACCGTCCGGGCCGGGTGCCTTATCGTTACCAATATCAAATAGAGCATTTTTAATCTCTATTGATTTAATTGGTGCGACAAGGCTTTGTTGAACACTTGGTTCAATAAGTGGGCCCGAAGCCAAGACCATGGGGTCTAGGCAAACACTATCAACCTGCGTACCAAATAACTCAATAAAAAATTTTACAAACTCACTGCCCACTTGGTCAAGAGACGTGGTGAGTGAGCCATCTTCCAAAGAGATAGAAGAGATTGCATTTCTTGATGCATTTCTTTTCACGATGGCGTGGAAATATCTAGTGCCTTTGTCCGCCTCCAAAATGTGAGTAGCTTTTGCCTTTTGTTGATAGAAACTAATTCCGCTTCACTAAGGAAGGTGGCTCGTTTCCTTGCTTGTTTCAATTGGCATTGGAGGTCCTCATCAAGTGGATTTTGGAGCATTAGTTTGTTGATCCTCTTGAATTCATTTTTTGCTTCCTTCACCTTGTTTGAGATGTTGCCAAATTCTTTCTCATTTAACTTCTTCAACGGGCCCTTCAACAATTTTAATTTCCTTACCATCGAGTATTGGGATGTGCCCTCTACTCTTTGGTTCCACACATGCGCTACAATGTTAGCAAAATCGTGGTGTTTTATCCACATATTGAAGAATTTAAATGGCTTTTGTTTGGGCGAAATATTATGGAATAATGATGTAACGGAAGCCGTATGATCAAACTCCACCTCCATTTCATGGAAATGTGCCCTACAAGAAAAGCCATTTTGTCCCCAAATGTCATTAATTAGTACTCGATCTAGTTTGGCCCATAGGACACCCCTATTCTAAGTGAAAAATTCACCGATCGATGGGGCATCCATAAGGCTATTCGAGACCTTAAAATCCAAAAGATGTTGCATCATATAAGCTGTGGGAGGGGAAGGCCCCACCCTCTCGTTTGGAGCGCAAACGCAATTAAAGTCTCACACAATTAACCAAGGTTTGGTAAAACCACCACCTAACAAAGTGAGATGATCTCATAATGATTTACGCTCCAAAACAGTATAAAGAGGATACACAAAAGTAGCCAAGAATGAAGTTTGGGTAATACGCCAAATAATTTTTGCATGCAAATGTTGCTTACCCGATTCCAAAATATTACAACTTACAAAATTTATGTTACAAATAAGCAAAATGCGGCCTCCATCAATTAGATCAAAATTATTTTCAACCAACCACCCCGGTCAATTATTTAAAATATAATTATTAAGGCTGGCCGAGTTCAACTAGCACATTCCAAGAGTTGTCTTACCAACAGTTGTCCGTCACCATCTGGCATTCAGCTAAGTTCTAGCATATCTGACCCTTTTCCGTATATTTTTTTACCAGTGTCTGGACACTGGACAAACACCAGCCGACTGCCCCGGCACTCCTTCAACCGCGCCTGACGACTGTCGCGACCTTCGTTCGTACTTCAGTTGCGCCACCAGTGGTAGGTACGGTACCCCCATTTTTTAAATGACTACCGGAGTTGTCACCTTAGTGATATTGTCTTAAGCAATCTGGTATGACTAATTACAATGATTGGAAGTAGTATTGTTCTTAGAGAAGTTTAGTATTAACCAAACCTAAAATGGTCTTAGGGTAGGTGTATCCAATTAGTGTTGGCCGAAGCCAAAATGGTACCTAGTAGGGGTACAATGGTATTTTGGCTCCCTGATAATTTGAGCAATCGTGTCCGCTGTCGCCCGAGCAGGGGTGCCGATTTTCGGGTTTTAACTAAATGGTCGGTATATTTAAAGAGTGTAAAAGTTGCTCATCAAACTGGCGTGGGAAATAAGTAAAGTTTTATACTTTTATTCATTTGAAATATCTTCATTTTTTCAACAAAGGGTACACCAAACGTTATAAATTGAAAGGAGTACAGTTTATTCATTTTAAATACCTTCATTTTTTCCAACAAAGGGTACATCAAATGTTATAAACTTCCTATGCAATTGCAAGAACAATAACCCCCTTTCTAGTAGCTTTTTTACACACGGAGAAAGAATCTGTATATTCTCCAAACAATAGTTGAGTTATTAGTATAAATTGGGAGTTGGAAATATGAGTTATAAACTTATAAATCTTGTTTGTTATGTACTCCCTCCGTCCCAATTTGTTTTTCAAAGTCAACATTTTTTGGTCAACAATAATAAAAGTCAATCCTCCCTATGGATAATTAATTCAATTTTTAATAATTCAAATTTACATATTCATAAACTACATTGAAATCTTTTCAAAGTTGTTAACTCCAAATTATAATATAATTAAAAATTGGCATCCTAATTAAGTGAACAAAACGAAACTGTTTGAGTCAGTCTGACCAAGAAAAGTTAAATTTTCAAATCAATTTGGGACGGAGGTAGTATTAATTAATAATCAGAATTTCTTGCCTTAATTTTTTCCCTAGTTCTCTTTAATTTTTCACTTGTTTCATAACCAAAGCGCATTTTTGAAACTCTAAGTTATACTCTTTTTCCCTTCTATTCTTATACTAAAGCCATACTCCCATCACCAAAACCTTAATCGAATCAAGGATTTAAGGCTGCATTCAAATAGACATTAAGGTCTCATCTTGTGCTATCTATGGGTTGCTTCAACTAGTAGTCGTATATTCCGTATTAATGTATTATTGTTCAATTTTTCCAATAATTTCTCTATTTGGCACTATATGTTGCATTTACCCATTTAGTAAGTAACGATTCACATATACCGCAGTAATTTCTTCTTTCACTTTTCAGTATAGAACTTGTGATTATCAGGCTTGAGCTTTCGGAAAATGAGGGAACTGGTGACAATCCAAGTAGGAGGCTATGCAAACTTCATTGGTTCTCACTTCTGGAACTTCCAGGTTTGTTTTTTCTTTTTGTCTTTCAATATTTCTTCAACACTAAAATGGTAATGGATAAATGGAGTGCATCTATTTCTTTCTAAATCACCTTTTGCCTTTCCTGCATTACTTCAGAGATGGAATTGAAACAAAGACAGAACTTCAGTATAGTTTAGAACTTTTCTGTTTGTTGAGAGATTTCTTAGTAACTCAAGCTTCTATTTTGTGGATAGTAAAATTTTGGATCTTGTGTTTTTTTGCTACCTTTTTTAAGGCTGTTGGTTTTTCTTTTGTGGGACAGAGATAACTTTTATCAGTGCATGCTTTTATAGTTTATGTAGTTTGTGTGTCATTCTGGTGTGTTATAACTAATTCATCAAACTTTTTCTCAATAATGAAGGATGAATTGCAAGGATTGGCCAATAGCTCTGAGAGTAATGAAGTGTTTACGAATCATTCTCTTAATCCAGATGTACTCTATAGGAGTAGTGAAACACAGCAGGTGATCATAGGCATCAAAATCTGCAACATGCCTTAATATGCTATGCATTTTGTAGCTTTATGACCTTATTATGGATTTTGTTTTAGAGTCGCGATCTTTTACATTGCAGGGCCTCCTTACCTACACACCACGATTGGTTTCAGTTGATTTTCAAGGTGAGAAGCATTCTTTATGTCACTATCATCGCCAGTGAAAATATTAAATAACTGACTTAGATGATTAGTCATGCACCTAAATGTTTGTTTTTTTATTCTATTTTATATTTGTATTTTATTTAATTTTTATTTTATTTTACTTCATTACATTTCGTTTTGTTTTGTTCAGACACCGAAATTTGAAGTTAAATAGCCCCCCCGGTCCTTATTGTAAGGTACTCTGTACCTTTTAAAGGGTTGAATACTTGAATGGTCCTTTTTTAAGTCATTGTTTTCTCTTGTGAAGCATTCATTGTCTTTTTCCCATTGTTTTGCCCCTGATAAATATTCTTTTCGAGTTATTTTCCAAAAGTATTCATTTATGAGGCATAACAAAAGAGAGTAAAAAAAATTGGAATGTCATAATATCTTTAACAACTCAAGAAATTCAACTACTTCTATTGGTTTGTTCAATTTGGTCAATTGTGCCTCATAATAAGGTGCACCGAGAGTACAATTTTTATGCTTAAATTTGAATTTGCTACATTATGTGTGATGACCTGGTTCATGAATATATTTGATTTAAATTATTTGAAACATTTCCAATCTGTAAATTTATAATTGACGTAAACTTTAAACAGAGTAATTCTTTGCTTTTGCTCCTGCTAGTACTGTGACTACAATTTTGTAGTTCAAAGGCATGATATATGTCATTACTCATTAATTGTTACTTTCAGATCCAGTAATGTTTAAATATGTGACATTTCAGGTTCTCTGGGATCTATGAGTTCACATGGAACTTTGTACAATAAAGAGCTTTCTCAAAGTTCAGATGTTGTAACATGGTTAGGTTTTTACACATTAGCCCTTCTTAATGTCGAGCTTTGCTTCTTGGATTTGAACATATCTGGACCAATGTGTAGGGATGGTAAAGTTACAACTGAGGCTAGTGAACCTTTGAAAAAGAACCTCTTCTTGCAAAGCTTGTACATGGAAGAAAAGAAAACGGAAATGGAAAATTGTCATGATGGCAAGGAGAGTGCCTCCCACAATGAAATTCAGGACACAGACATTGTTGAATGTTTAGAAAATGGTGTCCAGTACTGGACTGACTTCTCAAAAAGTCATTATCATCACCAGAGTTTGTATGAAGTAAGTGGGTTATGGATGGATGCTCAAGAATTTGATAATTATGGCATTGGGAGGGATATATTCCACACTCATCAACGCGGTGATGAAATAAATGAAAGGCTTCGTTTCTTCATTGAAGAGTGTGATCACATTCAGGTTATACCTAATTCTAATAAGTTTTGCACCTTGCATTTGATTTTTCTTTTTTCTTGAAGACCCTTTTCAATTGCTTTACTATAATAAATTGGTTAATAAATGTTTAACTTTTGTAGGGTGCCATATGCTTTGTCAGGAAAATACTTTTTGTGTGATTTCTATTTATTCTTCTTAGCAGCAGAATGAATTGCAATCCTCCAACTATTCCCTGTCACCTACACATTGATAATTGGTTAATAACTTGATATTCATATATTACTATACCAGATGAAGTTGATGGTCCAATCTTCTTACTTTCTCAGTTTCTCAGGTTCCTTAATAGGCTGGGGACAAGAATATTAAATATAAAGATATAAACTAAGCCGGTAATTGAGCTTTTTTACTGTGATGATGAACATGCTTTTTTAAATAAATCCAGGCCCTTGTGCTATTACTAATTTCCTTTCTTCCTTATGCCTTACTGCCCTTGATGATATAGGTATAATCATCTTTGTAAACTAGTAAGTTTCCCCATTCGGATGTTTATCACGTTCGAGTCTAATGTCTCCTCCTTCATAAATAAGTGTGAGATAAACAACACCTGTTGAGTATCTTTTTGCACAGTTAGGCTTAATTTGACACGGTATCAGGGCTTAATCCTATTATGTTTTTTCTGTCATCTGATGGTCTAGGCTTTTAGGGTATAGCCCATTTAGGGTTGATTTGTTTCATTTGTCTACACTTTCTATAGTCTAGTACGGTTAAATGTTCCACATGTGATGTTTACCGTGTTTGAGTCAATTGCATAAATGTGTGATCTAAAACTTAGATATCAAGGATCCTTTTGGGGAGGTTAGACCCAATTTAACATAACTTGATGACTTTGAATTAGATCAATGATTTAAAAAATGCTGGGGTTACGGTGGTGCACCAAATGGCCAGATAAATATTTACTGGCTGTTTAATCCTTTTGCAATCAATAATTAATCTGCATGTGTGCACCACATGTGAATGATATCATCGTTATATTAAATCAAAAGAAGAAATCATCCAGTAATGCATAATCTCATTCTGTTTTTGGATACTCGTCATCTTCTAGGGTATACAATTCATAGTTGATGACTCTGGAGGTTTTTCTGGAGTAGCTGCAGATTTCTTGGAAAGCATTGCAGATGACTATAGTAACCTCCCTGTGTTACTCTATGCTGCACGAAGTCCTCAATCATTTATCAACATGAAAAGCCATAAGCTAAACGTCTCGCGAAATCTTCATGATGCTGTTTCATTTTCAAGACTATCATCCTTGTGTAAATTGATTGTCCCGATTGGCTTGCCGTCATTGAGTAGAAGTAAGAGTTGCAGATTATCAATCACAAAAATAACAGTTTATGCTTTTATTCATTTATATACTTATTTGTTTGTTAGTTCGATTACATTAGCTTTTCTTCTTAATTTATTATGGAGTATTTTATTGTTTGACACTTCCCTTTACAATAGTATTTTGCTGATACACATCTAGGTAAAGCATCCAGGCTTCTCTGCATTAAAGATGAGCAGCCTTACCACACCAGTGCAGTTTATGCATCTGCTTTGCACTCTATGTGTCTTCCATTTAGAATTGAACAGCCAGGACCCACATCAGAGTTGTCGGTTTATGCTTGTGGTGGGTTAGACATGTACGAAGCCATACACATGTTAGCAGATCAAGCTAGGCAGAATATGGTTTCTACATTAGATGTTGCCATGCCTGCTCCTTCGTTAACTGGTATTGTTATTATCCCAGTTTTAATTTTTAAACTATTAAGCATTTATAATTATTATGCAATAACTCCTTGTTGAGATTATCGTTTTTAAATTTCATTTATAGGGAATACGTTTGAGTGGTCGTTGCTTGAGAATTTCCTGCCCTTGACCCCAGAGGTAGCAGAAGACGTTGAAGACCTTCATGTCATGGAATGCATGACCATTCACGGAGTCCTAAGATCTGGTATATTACGAGAGATATTATGTTTCCAATTTATAATTCATTTTATGAATTGACCAAAATTTAATTGGATTTTTTATTATATCCTTGTTGGATGTTCATATATACTACTACGTATTCTTTAAAGTACTATGCTTTCCTAGGCCCCTTTTATAGGCAGAATAATCATAAGTAGCTTTTGACTTGCTCTTTTGGTTGAAATCAATATTACCAGTCCCATTTCCTTCAAAAAACCAATTTAGGTTCAGCGTTACCAGTCCCTTTTCCTTTAAAAAAAACAATAGGTTCAGCATTACCAAATGGGCAGTTAATGTATTCTTTTGAGCATATTAGATTATGCTTGTTTCATTAGAGTTCCTAACCTCATTTAAAACTTGTGTGACACGGTCTGGAGTGGGGCAGAAATGTAATAGTAACTCAGAAGTTGGAAGTATTACTTAAAATAAAAAGTATTTTTATTTTATTTAAAATCATCGCATTATGGCCCCGTCTCACTGTGACCATTCACAGGAAAACTTTAACTCTAAAAACATCCATTGCAAATATGATTGGCCTTAAGTTTCCTAAGGTTACATTGACCAAAAGGGAAAAAATAGATGACAATTTGACAACTAAAGCATTGACCCCGGGCAAAAGTATAATAGTCTCTTTGGCCTCCTCTCTTAAGTTGTCATGCTGTTCCTCTGTAGAATTCCCTATATGTGCTAACATCTTACTGCTTATTTAGGTAACCGAAGATGATGAGAGAGAGAAATTACTAATATATCTGTAAGGGCATGTTTGGTTTGTGGATTTCGGAGGGGAAAGGAGAGGGGTAATAGTTGTTTTTAAATCATTTCAATGTTTAGATAGTCAGAAATAATGTGAATATAAAAGACTATATATGATGGAGCATATTTTGTTATTGGGCTTCCTTCCCAAATCCCAACCATGGGTATACAAGCTTCTGAATGTGGCATGTTGCAGCCTTGACCAAGCAGGAATGGAAAGAACTTGATCCGCTGGGTAAGCCATGTTTGGCCAACATGCGGAACACGTGTGTGATTTGAGGATGGGTTCATTCACTATTTGCCCCCTCTTTGGACTGTGAAGGACCTTTCGCTCTAGTTGCGGGTATCAATAGCCCATCAATGTAGAAATAATTTATGGACGTAACCACTGGTTATTGCTCGTCTAAATCTAAAAAGTAAAAAACAGATGTGTAAAATATAAATCAATTTTTCCTCTCATTTCCTCTTGAATTCCCTGTTTACTTTGATTTTCAGAATGCCGGAGGATACCGCCAGTTTCTGAGGTTAAGAATGCAGTTCAGGAAGCATATGAAAAAACAGCAATGTTGAGACCAAGATTCATGCACCTATCAGCAAGTTGTTGCCCTCTACCCATACCATTGCCTTTTCCCACTATCTTTGGAAATGCCATCGGCCAAAATGGCGAGTTATTAAAAGCGTCTGATACGGTTTCTCCACCAAGGGGGGCGCTTTCTGTTCATTCCATTCCATTGGCAGCAAGACTGCGTTCTACCACCGCCATTTTACCCTTTTTGGAAAGGAGACTGGAAAATCTGCGAAAGCTAGGTATCCGGCAAGGAGGGGTCGGGGGCCCTGTTCTTGAGAGTTGGGGTTTTGGGAGAGATGAAGTAGAAGACTTGGGTGAGAAACTGTCACAGATGGTTAATACACTTAATCCTTATTCGGACGTATCCTCTGATTCTGATTAATTGTTCTTGTATTCTAATCAATTGTGTAAAAGAACTAGAGGATTTTTCTGAAGAACTAAAGGGAAATGCTTATTGCCAAAATTTGACTGATTGTATTTGTATTATGAGTGTAGTTTTGTAACTAACCGAAACAGCGGGGTTAAAGTTGTTTGTATACGTGTATTTCGAATTTTAGATTTGCAACAAAAAAAAAGAATTGACAAGGACACGCAGGCTTGGACTCGGGTCGGGCCACCCGGCCCGTGGACCGGCCCGGCCCGCTACTGTGCGGGACCGGTCCGGTCCGGTCCCGGTCCCGGTCCCGGACCGGTTCTCGGGTCCGGGTCCGGGTCGGGCCTAGGCCCGGGGGGTAGGGCGGGTCCAGGCTCGGGTCTCAATTTTGGTGAACCGGCCGGGTCGGGCCCGGGCCCGGGCCAAATTGATTTTTTTTTTTATTTTTTTTCATTTTTGGGGTTCCACCTGGGTTGGGCTTGATGGGTAGGATGGGTTTGGGAGGGTGGGGGTGAGGGGGGTGGGTTAGGAAAGCAAAAAAAAAATCCAAACCGGAGGCCCGGCCCGGACCCGGTGGCTACCCGGGCCGGTCCTGGGTCCACCATTCTTGAATCACCGGCCCGCCCGGACCCGGCCCGGACCCGAGTCCACCCCTAGGTAGAAGACTTTGTGAACGCTGACTTTTTTGTTCCATACCCTTCCTGTGAAGACTTCGAATTGAGCTCCACTCTCTTTTCATTAGTCTAAGATCAAAGTTCAACTTACATCCTGGATAACTGTTCGGTCAGTTGGGTTCTGGAAGGCCCTGGACTACGAAATTGTCCTTTTGTATATTCAAATCCAAATTTTCAATTGAAAATATTTGTTGAAACTTGAAAATGGTGCCTAGATTCCTCTCTTGTTGTATATATTTGTATCTGAGTACTGAGTAGTGCATCTTTTAAATTAATGAAAATTTTATAGGTTGTGTTTCTAAAAATAGATAATTACTCCCGTTTCAAAATTATTGTCACATTTAGCTTTTCAAGTAATTTTTCAAAGTATAACAAACAAAGTATTATTTCCTTGCATGAATTATCTGTCAAATTTTCTTTTTCTTCCGTTCCAAAATAATCTTCTTTTTCTTTTTTTGATGAAGAATTTGTGGTTCAGAGCATTTATTAATATTTAAGTTAGTTGTGAGTGTATTGTACTGTAGCAATGTTGTAGAAAAAAGGAAGTGAGGTAATGAGAGTATATTTTTAAGGCTAAAATGTCAAATAGGCTCATTACCGGTCGTGTAAGCTCAATTCAGTCCCTGAACTAAAAAAAAGTCCAATTCACACCTCGAACCAGCAAAGAAAGGTTCAAATTTCATTTTTTACAGATAAGCAACCCGTAAAAAAGTCGAATTTGCACTCTTAAACTATTAAAAAGTGAAAGAATGACAGAAACGTAACTAGTTTCTATTTATGACAAAAATGTGACTAAACTTGACTTAAATTGTCTACCGTGTCCCTGCCTTAAAAACCCCCAATTCAAATCTTCTTTCTACGGAGAAACCGGTGGGCGTAGCTCAACTGGTAGCAAGGGAGTGCCACAAGAGTTAGGCCCCGGATTCGAATCCCGACAACTACGATGAGAGGTTACTATGCTAAAAATGCATAGGACCTCTGTAAATACCGGGGACATAGCCCCACTCTCTATCTGTCAGATTGAGATTATAGTCCAATTTACATCCTCCCAACGTACCCTTCGATCGGGGTTGGAGGCCGGGATGGGGTGTCATCTTTTTTTTTTCTTTCTACGGAGAAGTCAATTGCACATGTCAAGATGGCAAAACCATGAAGAGATTCAGGTTCTGCGACGGATAGGGCCCAAATTTTGGGCTATGTGCGACTAGGGTTCTTATCGTTTTCAAATGCATTGCTTGGGGAGATGTTGGGGGAGGTTTGGGTAAGTTGCTGGGTTTGGCGGTTTGGGGTAGTTGCTGAGGCTATGGAGGTGTGGGTATATGAAGGAGTAGGTGACGATGCTTAGGTGAAGGACTTGGTGAAATGTTACTGGTGTGTGAAATGTCACTCGTTAAATAGTCACTATGGTGACATGTCTATGTGGGTGGTGGTGTGATCATTGTGGCGGAGTCACAAGCCCGGAGTCACTGACAATTGTTCATTGGGTAGTCATTGTCGGGTGGTCGTGATCGGTGATAGTGGTCAATTTGACTGTCGGTGGTGGTCACCAGCGACAGCGAGTCACTGTAGACGGTGGTCACTTGACCGGCGGTGTTGGTCATTGTGACAGGTGACACCGTTGGTCATTGTGACAGGTGACGCCGTTGGTCATTGTGGCCTGCGATGGTGTTGGTCATTGTCACTATTGTTTGGTCAGTTCAGTCAGTGGCGGTGGCCGATGGTGATCAATGTGGTCGGCGAGGTCAGTTGGCAAGTCATTGCGGCTGGCGACGGGTTGGTCAATATGACCGGCAATGGTCATTAGAGAGGTAACTGAGATGGTGGTAATTGAAGAGGTAGTAACTGGGACGATGGTCACTGAAGCGGTAGTAACTGTGACGGTGGTCACTGAAGCGGTAGTAACTGTGACGGTGGTCACTGAAGCGGTAGTAACTGTGACGGTGGTCACTAGAGCGATAGTAACTGAGACGATGATCACTGGAGCGATAGTAACTAGAACGGGCGGTCATTGGGAAAACATAATTCACAAATCAAAGATGATAACTACGACGAAGATCATTGGAGCGATTGTAATTTTCAATTGAGACGGTTGTAATTGAAGCGGTTATAATTCGGACGATGATCACTGAAACATTAGTAACTGGGATCATTCCACATAAGTTTAATGTAAAAACTTAAATAGTATGGTAATGGATTAATTAGATTAGGTGTAAAAGAAATCCAATGGAGTAGTATCTAAGCATTAATTGGTAGAGCCAATGTATTGTTACGTACAAAGTAAAGATGTATTAGTTTACTTAGTAGAGCGGTGGATATGTATTAGTAAGGGTCATTTAGAGAGTACATGTTTATTAGTCACATTTTTTTAAACTAAGAAAAAAGTAACTTTTTTGTCCAATACTTCTTTTTTAGTAATATCCATGTCAAAACCCCTTAAAAGTATCAAAATTGCAACAAATCAAAAATAAAAACAGAAACAATAAAAAAAATTAAAAAAATGACCGGAACAATTTTTTGTCGGTTCGGGGTGCGGATTGAACATTTTTTTGATTTAGAGACATAATTGAACTTACACGATCAATACGGACTTATTTGACCCTTTAGCCAAATAAGTTAGTGGTGAAAAAGTGAATGTATTGTGGTGTTGCGATGTTGTAGAATTGTAGAAAAAAGGAAAGTAAGGTCATTATTTTGAAAAAGTGAGATTAGTGTGACCAACGGTCCCAAAATGGCAAAAACTACGTCCATTCATATTCAAATGATGTATGTCATCAGTTTTATCTCTCCTTTTTAGCTTGTAACACTAAATTTGTTTTATATTATATTTAGTCTTATTTGTGTTGTTCTAATTAATTCTTATTGTGTTTACACAACAAATTTCAATTCTATGTGTTTCATCTAAACCATACATGAAAAACATGAGGCAAGTCGATATACTGCAATAAAATATTCATAATAAAAAAGGTGAACCCTTTTCCACCTTAAAGTTTAGTACAAAGCTGGGGAAATCCAGACTTCAGATTGTCAAAATTCCCAGCATGAACATGGATGTATAGTAAAAGTAATCGAATAGTAAAACCACAAATTAGTTCTCAAGAAAATAAATGAATCTCTCTTTGAACACCAAACCATATATAGCAGCCCAGGTATGTCTCTACTCTCTAGATGTGAGGAGCAAGACTACCACGTGTTGAACGGCAGGAAAGAAATAGAACGTGCAAAATCCTGTTCAAAACCTACGCAGAAATTGATGAAAAGGTCATCAGAAATATAAAACCGCTTTTTGCAATTTTATGAAGTCAAAATGAAATAGCAAAGCAACAAACCGCATGCACAACACACATTCACTCAGTTGAAGCTGAAACCACCAGAAGGAACGGCGACATCTCCACTGGCACCAAACTGGAATCCACCCTGTTGCTCAGATGCAACATCGCCAGGTGGCATAGCATCATCTTCTTCCTCCAACCAATAAGTCTCTAGAATCTTCACCGCCTTCTCATAAATCTCTTGGTTGTCGTGACTTTGAAGGTTCTCTATTTTTTCCAAACCTTCACAATCCTCTATCATTTGAGCATAACCATTCGTGTCGCCCATCAAGCCCATGTTCTTCTCAGCTTCCCCAACCTTCAGAATATTTTCAAGTCCTTCAAGGCAGACAGTGACGATTCTTGGGTCAGGACAAACGAGAAGATCACACAGTGGCTTGATACAACCCTGACTCACAAGGTACCTAATGTGTTTATGTTGAAAAAAACAATATTAAAATTACTTTGAGTATATTAATTAAACATATGTAATACAATATAATACAGGCTAAATTTTGCATACATACTTAATCTGATCATGACTACCGCCAGATGTAGCATTTGAGATTGCCCAAGCTGCTTCTTTTTTAATATCAAACTCTCCGTTTTGAAGCAAATCAATAAGAGGTCCAATTATATTAGCTTCTATCACAGCCTGCATAGTAAAATGAGATTAAAGTGAAGTACTCCATCTAATTTATGCACTCCCTCCTCCATCCGAAAAGAAGAGTGGATTTGTTATCAGTCGTGTAAAACAAAGGAAGCAGTTAAGTCAATTATTACTAAAAAAACTTGGGAATAAGTTTTAGAATATAAAAGTAACCTCTGTATTTTTTACAGAGGGAGTACTTTTGTATAATACGACAGTATTACCAACATTAATGTTATTAAGTAGTGATTTTGATTTGAAATTGAAAGGACTATAATAAGTAAAAGAAAGACGCAAGTCTTATGCTTCAATTGCTTGCCTGGATCTGATCCTTGTTACCAGCAGTGATGTTTGAGATTGTCCAGCAGGCTTCTTTCTTAATACTTTTCTTGTAGGTGCCCGTTAATAATGTTGTCAGGCAGTACAACCCACGGTACTCAATAATACACTGAAACGAAACAACACATGCAATATCAGTATATCACAGCTCACCATCCTATATCCATAGACAATTAATGTTGTTTATACTCTAGATTATAAGCCATCTTTTTAGATTACAAGTTGTTCCATCAACACAAAAAGAAGGTTAGGAGCATCAGCTGAAATTTAAAATCAGCTTATTTATAAAAATGTAGATTAATATGATGCTTTTCAACAGTTAGTTCATATTGTTTTAGTATTTACAAGCCGCTTTACTATGATAATTTTTTCAGCTCTTTGCCTATTTCTGTATTGCTTTACTTTGTAAAGGCACTGTTCCAACCAGAATAAGTTAATTACTTTCAGCAAACCTACGTACACAAAAATTGATTCCAACTATAATCAATTACAACAATAATTGATTTTACATATAAATATGTAATCAATTACATAAGCTATCCCAATCAAGATCTAAATTTCACATTCTCACCCATAATCATCTGAGAATACAATTTCCATATTGTGCAACCTTATTATGTCATACCTGAGTTTGCATGTCATCTCCGGTGACAATATTCCCAACAGCACGTAATGCAGGGACTATAACTGAGGGTGAAGGGTGCCTAAAAATCCAACATATATGAACACCTCAGTAGCCACATATGCTTGCATGAAAATTGCACCTCGGCAAATCAGTAATACCAAAATATCAGTTGAATCAAAATACTCACTGTAGAAGCTCCACCAAACGTGGACACACTCCAGAATCAATGACAGCTTGAATTTTATCATTAGTACCATCTGACAGATATGAGAGAGCCCAACATGCGTCTGTAATAACTTCTTCATCAGTTGATTGTGTAAGTTGCTGAAGTATTGGAAGCGCTGGCCTAGTCTGTATAGAAACACAAGAATACATAGTATAAGACCACTGGAAGTGCATAGCATCACTCAAAATTAACACGTAAGACCTCTAGAAGGATTATACTGTCATTTCTTATTGATGCCGAAAGAGTAACCAAAATAATATAAAGATACCATTATAGAAAACACCATGATTGTCTCTTTCAAGAGATTATACGTACTCACATATGATGCCGTAAAAATCATTATGAATATTGTCAAGACAGGTTAAAGCACACTTGTATGTTCTGCAAATGATGAAAATTGCAAATTCTTGTACTAATAGAAGCATAACAATTAACAAGTGATAACCCCAATAGTAAGAATCATACGAATCTGCAAGTTCTTGTTCATGTTTTTGTAGAAGAATGGAAGGGCGACACTCACTAAAGAAATCCCATAAAGTCCCAAGTTTTGTTCTAAAGAATCTGCATTTTTTGTTCTACTAGAAATCTCACGAAGTCCCAATTTTTTGTTCTAGTAACAGCTCAAATTCTTGCAAGCTTGTCCTAATGGAACTGAAAGTTCCAAAAAAGTATTGACAGGTTATAACACACAACAGATAAAAAGTACCCCCACCCCCAAAACAAAGGGCTATGTTTACTTTAGTTTTCACTTTTCAATGGGTATGTGGAAAGAAGAGCAAGGGACAGGTGATCAACATACCAGTTCGAATGGAGGCTGTGGCTTGCCTCTACAGAAATTTGAGAGAGTCCAGGTGGCATTTCTCAGCATAGACAATTTGGCATTTGCATTCAACTGAGCAGTCAATGGATTTAGAGCACCCAAGCTTAACACAAGATCCCGACATTTGGGAGAATCACCAGCTACATTTCCCAAAGCCCATACAGCCTACAAACAGTTAAAAGTAGCAAATGATATGCAGCACACAAGCAATGCAGAAGGCAAAAAAGCAACAGAAGACGGCCAACTATATTTTCTTCCATATCACAAACCTGTTCCCGGACATCATCACTAGAAGAACTGAGAAGCCTCACAAAGATTGGGACGGCTCCAGAATCAATTACCACCCGAGTATGCTCAGATGTTCCAGAAGCAATATTGGTGAGTGCCCAAGCTGCCTCAAACTGTTGTGATTTCATGATAGAAAACCAAACTAATAAGGAATAGTGATGGAAAAACAAGAACATTAGTGCTGCACAATACACCTAAAATACCTGAAGCTGAGGAAAGTCATCCCTGGCGAGAAATTGAACCAACCGAGGAACTACACCTGCTTGGATCACTTCATCAATTGGAGGACTCCTTTCTAATCAAGACAACAAAATACATCATATAAGAAAGTCAGAAATCTAAGGGAGCAAACGGAGAGATAAAAGCATAAACATTAGCCAACAAATAATGATCACCTATTGAAAGTAATTTTCGAAACTGAGTAGTTGACTCAAGCTGCAAGTTTCCTTCATTGCTTAAAACACCAGCTACCATTGCGGGTAGAGCATCCAGCTGCAAAATCAATGCATTTCAAGGGTTTTGCAACCACAGCAAATTTGAAAGCACAATCTAATGCACAGTGCAAATTTAAATAAATAAGGAGCACAAAACAAACGTTAGCAGTGTTATGCACAACGAAAGGAAACAATGCAATAACCAAATCAATAGCTTCTACTGAGAATTAAGGTCGTCTTTTATCTACCTTCTTTTCGGAATGGGCAGGAAGATCAAATTGCTGATTTGCTTGAAACCCTTCACGCCGCTTCTTCTGCAATGACTCCTCCCTTCGATTCTTGCGAATCTCTACCATGGTGTCCTCTCTCCTCCGGCGACCCTCCTCCGCGTCCACGGCAACCTTGTACCGGTTCCGGCGATCCTCAACTCTCGTGTTCGGCCTCAGCGACATCTTCGATAGGCTGAATCCGAATATACCAATAGAGAATAATGGAGTATGCTGAAAAAAAAGGGAGAAATGATGCAATGAAGTGAGTATAAGCCCACTGTTGAATAGAAAGGGGAAATGGCGGAGGGTTTGACGTTTAGGTTTTTTGAATTGAAATGAAATGTGATAAAACGAGAGGTCGCTATATAGGTAGCTAGAGGAGCAGGGTTTTTAACAGAACGGGCATAGATCGGGAGTTATTTACGGTTTTGGGACCAATTTGAAATTGTGGGCAACCCTCAGTCCGCCTTCCAATAAGGACACCCCATCCGTAGGGATTATATCGATGATGGGATGATATTTTTTGAAATTATGATTGAAATGTTGAGATTGAATAATTATTTGATAAAAAAAGAGTTTTTGTCTTCAATATTATTAAATTCAAATCAATTTCCAAAAATGAAACCATTTTTATAAAAAGACAAAAATGCGACTAAGACGATCATATATAATATATTTGGAAAAACATAACATCACTACTCAATTTTATGTCACTGTCGGATTTTTATGTCACTGTAATATATCATTACCATATTTTTATGTCACTTTTATATGTTACTATTGGTTTTTATGTCACTTTTCTATGTCATTATTGGTGTTTATGTCACTTTTATATGTCATTATCCGTTTTTATGTCACTTTCGGATGTTACCTCCGCTGTGAAACGTGACACTATGATCGCATGAGATTTTTCAGCAACTTTTTTGGCAAACACTGACCTCCACGGCTGACCAGTGAACATCCTCCACCGCAACCCACCATCGCAGCACGCCGCTCGCTGGCAGTGCCATCCCACCGTCAGTCAGTAGACCCCATGCCTCAACAAACCCCATGCTGGCAAACCCAATGACCACCGTCCAGCACAGTGCCCGGCGTCGGTGCCCTGGAGCCGGCGGCGGCGTTGCTCCTACCCTTCTCAACCCCATCCCTACCACAACCCCACCCCAGCACCCTTCCTAGTGGCCAGCGACCTCTTCAACCCTCCTCCCCCACCACCGCACCACCACCTGCAACCCTAACCTCAAGATTCACCCTTGTCTGCAACCCTACCCCCGATTCTCGCCATCGCCAAACCAGGAGCTCGATTTTGTCCAATTCCCAGTCGGAGGCAAATTCAAAATCAGGCCTTAATATACAGCACCGACGACGAATCAACAACACTACCGCCCCTAGCGCCACCTTTGAAGCTCAAATCCGCCCCTTAGCGTTCGGAATCAGCTGCCTCCATTCCCGATGTCGTCACAGATAAAGAGAAGAAAAAGAAGGGTGATGGAGTGCAGAAAGATGGTGCATCAACGAAGATGACGGTGTTGCTGCTGCAGAGTTGTTGCGTGCATCGAAGGCTATGGTGCAATGGCCGAGAAGTTATCGAAGATATAGATCTGGCTTGTTTCCCTGGATGCAGCGAAGGATGACACCCCATCCCTGAGGGCCCCCAAACCCCGACCGGACGGTACGTTGGGAGGATATAAATTGGACTATAATCCCAATCTGACAGATAGAGAGTGGGCCTCTGTCCCCGGTACTTGCAGAGGCCCTATGCATTTTTAGCATAGTAACTCTCATCGCAGTTGCCGGGATTCGAACTCGGTACCTAACCCTTGTGGCACTTCCTTGTTACCAGTTGAGCTACGCCCACCGCATTTTTTCCCCTGGATGCTGCATAGTTGTTGCACGCCGGATAAGTTGTCGAGGATATCAGCTTTATGTCATATCAATTTTAGTCATATTTTTGTCCAGTAAAAGATAGGTAGTAATATTTGTGTCATTCTTTCATGAAAAAGTCTGATATCAAATTTTAAATCTGGATTATTTAAAGATAATTTACAAACTTTTAGGATGTTTTTACTTGGACTGTAATTTGTTGGTCTAGACTGCTCTGATATGTTTGAGTCTGGTATGGTCTGTGAGTCTGGTCTTCTTTGAACTGGTCTGATCTGGTTTGGTCTCTGTGTATTTTATAACTACGGAAGTCTGGTCCGGTCTGATCTGTTTAAGTCTGGTCTGGCCTGGTCTGGGACTGAAAACAGTCCAAGTAAAACATCCTTAGACTCCTCTCCCAATTTTCTAGGCATACCCATAATTAAACGTGAACACTAGCTTGCTCTATTCTCCATTAAAATATAGTACTAATAATATAGTGTATACATAATAATAATCATAATAATTATAATAATACTAATACCAATACTAATACTAATAATAATAATAATAATAATATATAATAAAGTATATGTAGTAATATAGTACTGTAGTATTAAATATATTATAAATATAGTTTACGTAGTAATATATATGTACTATATAAATTAATATGTTTAAATACATATACACATAAATATAGTGCACTTAATAATATATTTTGTAACACACACACACACACACACACACACACACACACATATATATATATATATATATATATATATATATATATATGTAGTAATGTATATAGTACACTTTTTAATAGGGTGTGCATGTGAGTGTGTTAGTGCATTAAAGTTTGAGGTTTTAAAATTGAGTGTACGTCTCATAGAAAAATTAGTTAAATTAAGATCATGGTTGAAAGCAAATTAATTGATTTGGAGATTATTTGAGATTTTCTCATGTGGAAGTGACATGACAACTACCTGCCATAAAAAACCGTAAAATTGAGGAGCATGATATGATGAAGATGCTCTAGACAATTTCGTCTAATTTTATTTAAAAATACTATTTGTACACAAAAAGTGTTAGCACTCTCTACATCCTCTAAATATTTCTCCATTTTTACCATTCCTTTTTACATCAATTCCTTTCCCCTTCCCCCAACCAAATATTTCTCCTTCCATTTTCATCTCCATCATCTTGTTTATCTTTAATCACTAACATCATTTCATAATCTATCGTCTTCATTATATCTATCGTCTTCCATATCCATATCTTCCATATCCATCATCTTATCATCTTCACCACCTTCCATATCCAAAATTTTATCATTTTTACCATTATTAGCTTACAGGATTGGGAAAAAAGAAAATTTGAGTCACCGAAAAATCATCGAAAAATTAGAGTTAATATCTATTGGCATTTTTGTTTGTGTATAGTGAAACTTGATTTTCAATGTCTGTGTACTGAGACAAAATTGTTATGAACAAACAAGAAATATATAAATTGTTTGTGTACAGACAACTAAATGTTTGTGCACAAACATTGTTCTCGTGCAATTAAACGATGTCATTCCTGTCATACAACGTGGAACCCAATGCCCGTATACAGACATTTAGTTGCATGTGCGCATACAATTTATAGAGTTTTTGTTTGTATTGAACAATTCTGTCTTTGTGCCCAAACAAGTTGTTGAGCACAAACAAAAATGTAAAATTTGTCTGTATACAGACAACTAAATGTCTATGTACTGACATTGGTTGTTGAGCAACCAAACTCTGTCAATACAGTGACACAACACTCAAACCAATGTCTGTGTATAGGCATTTAGTTGTCTGTACACAGACAATTTGTATAATTTTTTTCTGTGCTTAACAATTTTGTCTGTGTACACAGACATTGAAAAAACAGTGTCTGCATACACAGACCAAAATTCTGGTGAATGTTTATGTATAGCTTTCCAGTGACTTTAATTTTGGCAACTCAAACTTTTTGTTCCCAATTGACTCTAAAAGATGATAATAATATAATAGACGATAGGGTGATGGATATGGAAGATGGTGAAGATGATGAATATGGAGTAAGATAGATGGGGGTGGAAGATGGTGAAGATGGTGTAGATGGAGATGTAGTGAAGAAGATGGAGAGATGGTGATGGTGGATGTGGAAGTGATGAAAATGGGTGGGAGGAATTAGGGGAGGTGTTCTCATATGAATGAGAGGGGGTTAAAAAGTTGAGATTTATATAGGTTGTGGGGAGAGTGTACAAGTAGCATTATTGAATCTTATTAACTACTAGCTCCTTTCCAAAAATATTGGCACAAGACGGGAGTGACACAATTATTAAGAAAAGTGAGCTTGTGTGGTTGATATTGAATTGATAAAATAAGAATAAAGTAAAAATGGTTTAAAGTCATGCAAACTTGTCCGTGTTTCAATAATCAAACCAACAGAATAAAGATGAATAGAAATGTATATCCAATACCAGAATGATTTTGCAATACAATGCAGGGTATGAATATGGCTTTCTCACAAAATGATGTTATGTGCAGGAGAATTATTGAGAGGCTTGTGATCCCATTCTCTTTAAGACTATTTATATGCCTAGGAAATGAGTTGATGTGACCTAGGTGTGATTGGGCCCTTTATTGGGGTGGCGCAAATGCACATGTTACAAGGTTTTTCCTAATATAGCTAGTCTAATAAATATATTAATTAAAATGAATACAACAAAAATAAAGTTATATTAAACATGATTGGATACCATATAATATCTCTAAAAATCTCTCCTTGGTGTTCAATCTTGTTTACTCAGCGTTGCAATGCATGTATCTTTGTGATTGTGTTGCTTTTGCAGTGTAGATGAAAGGTTGATGAGATTGGTTGAGTGGCTCCTCTTTTAGTCTTGATCTTCTATGCAGTTCAGCTTCCTTTGTCTTATAGATGAGGCATAGAGAAGGAACCCTTACAATCTCCCCTTTTGATGTCTTCTTGACAACTGTTCTTTGATGTCGGGGGTTGAGGAATTCTTTAAAATCTTGCTTGTAATCATTGCCTTTCAGAAGTTTTTCTTTATCAGCTTGAATGAAGTCCGATGATGCCTCTAGAATGAATGTTCTTGAAGTGTTACAGACGCACAAAGGGATTCATCTTCAGTGTTTGATTACCCGACTTTGTCTCCTTCACAACGTAGCCTTTTTAGACCATTTGACGTGAACACTCTTAAGGGACAACTATCGGTGGCAAAAGCGGAAAATGATGGTTGACTTTTGAGTATATGCTGACCATCTGATTTGAAGCTGATTCCACAGTTATGAGACGTAGAGAGTAGAGATCCATCAATGTATGTGGTGGAGGAGAGAAGTGTCTGAGAATGATTTTTGAGAGTCTACAGCACGTGGACCACTCTCCCCCTCATGACGATCCGATGAATCGGGACGTTGTGTCTTTATTCATACTTTTATTCTGGATAGCAAAATAAAAACAAAAGAAAAAC